AATACTGGAATAAACTTCTATGGCACTGTGTAGATCATGACTCCTATCAGGGTTGTGCTCTCCCAGAAAAAAGACTGGAGTGTGTTGACAACTATCCAACATATGAGGACTATGATGGAGGCCCTGTGACAAATGAAGCTGATTGGTGTGATGGTAGGCAACCTTCATCCTCTGGAGAAGTAGGATGGGATCATCCAGGGTCATCTCAAGCAGAAATTCCAGAACCCGTGACAGATGAAGCTGAATGGTCTGATGGTTGGCGGTAAGGTTTAGTTGGTGTCTGTTTACATAAAAGCAGGAGGAATGGCTATTTTATATTTTGGTGTGGAGTTTTTTCCCTGCATGCGGCCCTCATTTGCTGTTCTTATGTTGGAAAGCACATGATGAGTCAGGAGTCAAAGAACTGAGCTCAAGTTGTCGGATTTGGGATACCTCTTTATTCGTGCCAAGAAATTTGATCAATTGTATTTGTAGAAAGGGTACTGGAATTTTATTTCATATAATTATGAAAATTTAAAAGAGAAATAGTTGGTTTCATGGGACATTGCGGTATATTCTCAAGAATGCTTATCCTTTTGCCAGAAAGGAAGAAAAAAAAGAAAAGGATGCTATCCCAAAGGTCAAAAATTGCCTGCTATTGCAGTGACAAACTTGTGATAAACAATTTCAAATGCCAATCAAATGGTAAGCATACGATGATTGCAGCATTACTGGTGATTAAAGATTACAATAACGTTAGGACTCCAGGCAGAAACTAGCTGTTGCTGTTATGCTTCTCTGCTGGTGAATGCGATGCTGGTGATAGAGGCGAAACTGGGCTTCTGGGTGATCCATCAACAGATTCTGGTGGCAAACTTGGTGCTAATGAAAGATCATCAGGACCTGCAAAACTGTGACAAACTTTTGTTCTTTTTGCATGTTTCTAACTCAAATTAGAATTGAGATGCCCTTTAAACAAACAATTAATTGATTCTACAAAAATATAAGCGGAGAAAAAATTCTTAAAATCTTATTACCTGACTCTGGTGGCGCTGGAGTTGCTATGCCGTGAAGGGGGGGCAGTGCTGGTGAACTTGCAGCACAAAGAATTCAAATTACTGGTGAATTTACAGTTGTATTTATAACAATAATAGTGGGCGTAGGTCATGAAAACTCGCAATTAATTGATACTAACTAACAATCAAGACTTCAATCAAGCATCAAAGAAGTACTCAATTAAATTCCTTGAATTTATTTACTCCAAATTTGCAATTTGTGCTAGTGACTGGTTAAAACACGGCAAAAGTATACGATTTCGCTGGACTTGACCATAGCATGCTATTCCTTCCTTCCATGAAAATGCTGACTTGCGCCTAATCTATTAGCAGAAATATCTAGATGGCTGCGTCTCTAATTAAATAATAATAATAATAATAATAATATTAATAAAACTGCAAAGAGGAGCAAAACCTAATCAAAATTAATTTAATAAGCATCCATTTAATTTTCCGTACCTGAGCAGATCAAATCTAAAGATACAGGACTTGATAGAGAGCAAACAGAAGGTACGCAATCACTCTGGATTCGTTCAATGGGAATCCGAAGATTAGAGGCTGCCTGATTAGGTAACAGAAACAGTTGCCATCACCGGAATTGAATGCCTTAGACAAGGCATCGCAGCACTGAGATGTTGCAGTGTCTGTGGCTCTGTCTGGCGGTGCCGAGACAGGGAGAGAAGGCCACCAACTCATCACTGCACCAAGACGGCGAGGCTGGCGATGGTGCAGCGGTGGCGAGGAGGATGAGCATGGAGGTAAAAACGGCTGGGAAAACGAGGACTGTCGTGTGATTCATGTTGGAACTCCCGCTTCCTTTATAACGGGAGTGAATTGAAATGGCGGGAATGGAGATTTTTTCCCCCTCTTTCGCGAGTTTACGGAAATGCCCTTGCAATCTATGTTCTTGTGTACTGAACGACAGCGTCTTCTTGTTGAAGTATCAATTTCTCTGAATTTACATTTTGTAGAGGGAGGTCTCTGGGTGAAGGAAATGGAGGGAACTGCACACGTGGATTTGAAGCTCCACTACCGTGACCACCTTTGTATAAGAAAGGATTTTGATGTTATTTTGACCTCGGCATCCCAGCTCAGAAGACGGG